GAATTTAACTGTCATTCATAGGTGCTAATGTTAAAGTTAATGCTCCTCCTCTTCCTCGCTCACTTCGTCCTCACTAAATGCCTCCAAAACCTGCCGATAGCCATGCACTGCCTGTGGCTCCCCAGGGTTGTCCTCCTCGTCTTCCTCCTCCTCGACTTCCTCCTCAGATGAGTAGTCCTGATCCCTCGTCTCTTTGAGGAAGTTCTTTGTGGCTATTTTATTCAGTAGGAGTTCCGCCCAGCCCTCTGGAGGTTCAGGCAGCCTGTCCATATCCTGTTCAAGAGACTTAACATAATCATAGCAAGGCCTTCCTTGCTTTAACCCTAAGTTCAAGTCGTATGCCAGTCTCAAGGGGTGTCCAGGTGGGGTCCTGAGGATATGGCCCCTGTACATTATTCTTGCAGCTCTGATGGACCTGTTAACTGAAGGGGCATCATTAGCAGGTATAACTACATGCGGCGGCCTAGCTGTTGCCAACAATGACTTGTATATGATAGCATTTTCCCTCCTTAGCTTAGAGCGTGTGGCTTTTGTTGATGACACAGTGGCCAGCTCATAATTAGTGGCAGGCAAAATGATACTGGTGTGAAACCTCTTAATGACAGATATTGGAAGCGGGTGCCTCCTTAAGGAGTTAAGCAGGACTGCGGCACTTCTCTGTGTTTTCTGTATTCGGTGCTTAATTATTGGTCTCCTGTCCAATTGATTGGTGATGGCCGCTCCCAAATATATGATTTTTTCAACCTGCTGGAGGTTCACATCTCCTATTGCAATAGGACGAGGTATTGGTTCAGGGTCATCAAAGGCAGGTTTCCTGAAAAGATACTCAGACTTTGCAAATTTAATCTCGAGCGTTAACGGGGGCAATTCTGCACGGAAGGCAGTGAGGAATGCCACCAGATCCCTGAATCTATCACTGACAACTAGTATGTCGTCTGCATACGCACAAACTGCTGGCAAAAGGCCTGGCCTTGTGATATCTAGCGAAAAGCGATGCAGTCGAGCAACTGCCCTTGCTATTGCCCAGTGCAAAGCTAAGGTGAATAAGTATGGGGAGATGGGACATCCCTGTCTTACCTCTCTTCCCCTTAGCACAGTGGAAGTCATAGCCTTACCATACCGTATGAATGTAACATCAGTCAATGCCAGTGCTATTATTCTGTTGATTAAATAGGCGCTAACTCCCATCTCTTGTAGTATCCTGACCATTTGCTTCTTATTGACGGATGGAAAAGCCGCTTTAATGTCAAGTGCCATAACATGTACCGCACTGCCTGCTTGCCAATGTGCATCCAGCACCCTCCTTAGCAGGAATAGGTGGTCATAAGTCGATCTGCTAGCACGAAACCCTGCCTGGTAGTAAGGAATTGGAGGCAATACTGTTGTTAATTCAACCATCATGTGTTTAGCTACAAGTTTATATATAGTATTGCAAAGGGAAAGAGTGCGGTAATCGTCGACTCCCGCCGGGCGTGCTTTTTTGGGTATGGGGTGCTGCATGGATTGAGTCGACGCAGCGGGGAATTCCCCTGCCCTCCACACCTCGCCTACCACCTTCTCCAGGACCTGGAAGAGCTTTGGAGGGCCGTGGATAAACAGCTCTCCAGGTAATCCGTCAGGGCCAGCTGCAGTCCTCTTTGACAGCTTGGAGGCGTATTCTCTTAACTGTGCCGCCGTGGGGGCTGTAGTGATAGGTCCGCCTGGGTCCTCTGGCAGCCTGTCAGGATGTTCGCCTTCAGCCATCCTTTGGACCACTTCCTCGCAATCTCTCATCGTGATATTGTTCGCCTGCGGTGCTTGCTGACGCTTTTCTTTCTTTAGGTACCTGAAAGCAACATTTAGTTTATTCGCCGGTCTAACCCCGTCCACCTCCCTAAAAAATTGCTCGATCTTCTCCTCCGCATGTCTCCTTGATGCTCTCTTTTCTGCCAGCGTCGCCTCTCGCAGCAGCTCCTCCGCAAACTCATCACCAGGTTCCCTCCTCGTGAGGGTGTACGCGTGACGTCGCCTATTTGCTGCCTCCCTTCGCCTGGGTGTCATGGGTGATTCTTGCACACGGAGCTGCGCGTTCGCTGCCGTCTCCATTGCCTCGGCCACCTGTTTCCAAGACAAATTGCCAAACCTGTTCTCCAATTGCTCTAGTGCATGCGTCAACGCCCCCTGGTAAAGCTCCTGCAGGGCCACTTCTTCATTGAGTCTCCCAAGAGCCCATGGTATCCGAGGCTTCCTTGCCGCATGCCTCGGCAACTGCTGCGCCGGGTCTGGGTCTGGTTCTACATGCCGTCCCGGAGGGTCCGGCTCAGGAAGATGAAGCATCAGTGTGGCGTACACAATCTTGTGGTCCGCGCTCACCTGCGTTGCGAAGTTGGCATTCACGCTGTTAACATTACTAAAATTAGTGCAGATGTGGTCTAGCTGAGACCGCGCTGCCCTCGGCCCGCCCCTCAATCCCCCACCTATCCAGGTTGTCTGACAGCCCCTGGCAAAACCTGCTGTAGTGATGATCCTCAAGTGGTGTATGCGGGCAATTTGCAGCAATCCGACTCCCGCCATGTTGCTGTGCACATATGGGGTGCCTTTTCCAAGCACGTCAGTCGGGCCATTGCGGTCTCTTTGTCCCAAGTGTGCATTAAAGTCGCCCAGCAGTATGCACCGGTGATGTGGTCTGGCAGCCACTGCTGCAGCTACTGCCGCGCTGACCTCCAGCTGCCTCGGGTTGACGTCACCTGGAACATGAGTGGCTATCACCGAGAACATTTTGTCATACGCACTAACTTCCATGATCATCACATCTGGGCAGACTAGCGTATGACTGATCAGTTGTATGTACGGCAAGTCCCGTCTGACCAATAAAGCCAGACCCCTGGCCCCCCGTAAGGGAGCGCCCTCAACTACCCAGCGGTAGTGCTGAGTTATCAGCTGTTGTGGAGGAATTTTTGTCTCCTGGAGCACCGCGACATGCACTCCTCTGGAGTAAAGCTCCGCGTCTACATTGTCTTTGACTCCGAGGGCCGCCACCCCTTGTGCATTCCATGTGGCAACAATCAGCCTCTGATTCTGCACCTGCGACGGCTGCGGCGAGGGGGATCTCTGTCTCGCTGCTGACCGCTGAGATATTCCAGATTCCTGTGAATTAATAATGGGATCAGGTACCTCAGGAACGTTAGGGCCTAGCGGCACAACCCCCACCCTCCTTGGTTGCATTCTGTGCAGCATTGCTGGCCGCCTCGCCTCCACAACATCGTAATGATTCCAGTCCCCAGCCAGCTCGGTAACCAATAGGACCACCGGTGGTATCCTCCTGTTGGGTATGTACTCTCTTGGTAGAACCACCTCACAAGCAGGCGGGTCCGCCTGGTGTACTTCAAAGGGTCTGTTCAACAGCTCCGCCAGCTCTTTGATACGCGTCCCATCATTGGGAGGAGCTGCCTCAGCTCCTCTGATTTCATCAACTGCTCTCCAGAGCTCCCTTGATCTCAGAACTGCGGCTGTATCGTCTGAAGGCCTGAGTGCTACAGCCGTAGCCACATACAGGGATTCCGGAGCACGAGGAACCCTTCTTATATGAAACTCCTCGTCTCCTATCGTCACTTTCGCTCGTTCGAACTGCGCCATGGTGCGCTACAACACAGAACCATAACACAAGAACACCAATTATGCACTCCCCTTTCCCTTTGCTCTAGCAGCCCTCCACTCCACCCTAAATCTTACCCTTCAGCTTCCTGCCAAACTTAGTAGATCTTTAATCTCTCTAACCCTACCGCTCGGTCCGACTCGTCCAACTTGACGCGTTGTTGTGTTGTGATCGGCATTTGTTGTGATGCTCCGCCGCCTCCCCCCCCCCTCTCTCTCCTCCTTCCCGGTCCCGCTTCCCCTTCCCTTGCCATTGTTGTTGAGTCTCCTCGCTGTTGCTTTTGTTAACCAAGTTCCCTCGCCCAGATTCTAGTCATAATGTCTTCAGCTCCCTCTGATTCGTCGCTATGCAAGTCCAACTCACCAGTAGCAGGTGAGCCTTTCGCCTCCCTTCTCACTTCCTACCTGAGACTGTCTTATTTTATAATCTGCTCTGTTGTTCACAGCCAGCACCTCAACTGCATCAACGTCTCGCTTGGCTCCAGCTGTTTCATCCGAGTCCAGCTGCAGTACTTCAAACTCTTCCACTCAGAGCAACAGTCAGACCACTGGTGGAGTTCAGGATCTGCCTGCCTTTGATGACCCAGCTCCAACTGGTGTTTACGATCTGCCTGCCTCCCCTCGCTCACCTGCTTGTGACATTGGTTAGTTGACATTATTTTCATCAGAGTTACCTTTGTAAACCGAATCACCAGCGTCATTTTTTCCTTGTAGATGATGAGCTTGAGGAGGAACTGGATTGGGGGTGCCTCTACGACACTCGAGAGAGGGATGCTACCACTGCACGCATGAAGGACAAGCGATGGGAAGAGCTGGGTTTGCTCCAAGAATACGAAGAAGAGCAGGAAGTGATCAGGGCCCATGCCGAGTTTGAGGCTGAAAGGGAGCTTGACAAGGCTATGGCTTGCGACCTGGAGGTCCTGGCCAGCTGGGAGAGAGAGAGTGTGGATTATGATTGTTGACATTTTTAACTATTGACCCTGGCTTACTTAATTAAAGCATGTTTTACTATACAACTATTGTTGCCTGTTTCCTTGTGTTCCTCAACATGTTGTTTGCTCAACTCTTAGCTTTCCGTTGCTAGTCATTCCCTCCGAAGATTTGGAGTGTTTGTTGCACTCTGCCCGTCATTATTTGACATTGCCAACCACCTTTCTTCTGTGGCATGCACTCCTTTCTTATTGCCTGTCGTCTCATCTCCATCTCTATAAGCTGATAGTCTGACAAAGCTGAAATTAAAGAGCTGTGCATTATGGGCATACATGACCGGTATATCTGTATAATCGTTCCACCTGTCGCTGATGTTGTTTTTCCCTACTGAGCTCTCGAGCCCCAATTCCTCCTCCTTACCACCAACATTCCTTGCTCCACCTTGAGACAATTAGCTGATCCTTGGTTTGGTTTACCATCTTTCCAATCTACCTCTGTTCCTGGTGAGCTTGTCCTTGGTTTAAGGTTAGGTCTTACCTTTGTTTACTCCTTGCTCTTAAGTCCATGGTGCGTAGTGCTTACTCAACTATTCCACCTCCTCCAACACCTTTTACGCCACACAAGCATGTAAGCAATTACCACACTTAGAGAAAACAAGCAAAGAGTTTGTGCAAGCGTGCCATAACCTGAAAGAGAGGTTAGGTAATTCCAAGCAAGCCTAACGAGCACTATCGCGTTTAGCGTATGGCAAGAAATTAGGTTCAGATTGCGTGCATTCATGCTTCATGCGTGGCCTGTCCTATTTTCTTCCCAGGAAGGGATCCCGTGGAGAGAAAACCGCTACGACAATTAATGGCTAAACCATTCGTTGCCGCCCCTTCCCACAAGAATGTCTGCAATAGAAGCAAATAAATGTG